TATATATATATATATGCTCATTAGTCTCGATTTGCAAGTTATTGGTTTTGAGTGTAGGCAAAATTCATGTTTCACGTCCATTTGAACCAAGGTGATATGGGCATACTTTTTTTAGCATTTCTAACATTCTAGACACAGTAGAGTTGTATGTATTGTGATCCGACTATGTTTGGGCTATGCGGCTGATGTCGAGATGATTTATGCTCCAATCTCATGCATTGTGTTTGTGACACGTCTTTTTCTTCACATATGCTATTTTTATTCATAAAAAGTCACCTTCTTAGATAATTTCGATGTCATGGATGTTACGATAAAGTATATTTCATGATCAAATGATATTTTGAGTAGATCGTTGTCGTCAAGTTGATTTGGGCATGAATCACGTGTTATCATATTCACCATCGATTGTTTTCATTATATTTGCTCGGGTTGATTTATAGAACAGATATGGAGGTCAGCAATAAGCATTTCAAATGAGTTCCTTAGGTAGTGCTTAGCTTCAATATAAAAACTAACTTTTATTCCTCGTGAGATTGATCTTGGACTCTATTTTTGGTATTATTTACATGACACGTGCATTTGTGTTTGCCAGTACAAAATTAGGTTAATAACTACAAGAAATTTTATAATTTCTTAACAGAAGTTTTATGCTCCTTATTTAAGGCTTACTCATCCTAGATAGTCATAAGGTTCACCTCCTCATTCAGGACCTACTCATTGCTTTCATGAATATCAAAATTTTCATGATTAGTATCTTTGTCAAGTGTCATTTCCCTTTGAGTAATCTGAGTACAACTAATAAATTTTCCCCTTTATATGCTTGATGTCTTTGCCTCCAAGAGCTTTTTTGGATCCAATTCTTGAGAGTCTTCATATCAGAGATAAAATAAAGTAATTGCTGAATCATAAACTGTTATTCAGATTAAACACACCAAGAGAGTTAGGGTCGGGATAAGGAGAGTAAGAGAGAGAGAGAGAGAGAGAGCAAAGCGAACAAAAAATTCTTGAGAGATGAGTCAGGGGAAAAAGTCAATATCGGTGATAAATAAGGTAATTGCTGAATCATAAACTATTCTTCAGATAAAACATGCCTAGAGTTAGAGCCGTGATAAGGAGAGTAGGAGAGAGAGAGAGAGAGCAGAGCAAAGAAAAAATTCTTGAGAGATGAGTCAGGGGAAAAAGTCCCTTTATTCATCTTTGGACCTCCTAATTATAGCGAGTCTGTTTGTACAATTACAAAAAGAAGAAAACATTTATGAAAAACACCCTTAATACAGTTAATGTGCTAATTAATACAAGGTTCATGTTGTCGTTCAAATGTAATACAACGATCATAGCATAATGATGCATTTTAGTTTGGTTAATCGACTACAAGGGGTTTGTCAACCCGATAGAGCCGTCGGTCGTTGAACAACTGATTCAGACCATTTTTCTTCAGCTTGTCACTTCGATTACCCGGCTGCCGTTCTTGACAGTCTTATTGCTTTGAAATTTGTGTTAGCAGTTTTGACGTATGCAAGAGGAGCTTTAAAATACTTGCTACTCAAGAGCACAATAAGAGAAAAAAAAATAGTGATTAAGGTATGAACTTAAAATTTGTGTATGCAAGAGGAGCTTTAAAATACTTGCTAAAGAGCACAATAAGAGGAAAAAAAATAGTGATTAAGGTATGAACTTAAAATTTATTTGCATTAGTGCTTCCACATGTCAAAATTTCATGTATCCTATTTATTCAAATGCTCCAAATCAAACTAGACAAATTATTGCCGGGCACAAGGTTTGAGAAAACTCAATGGACGGCTTAAATGTTATCTTGCCCATGTTTAAAACGCTAATTTAAAATGGATGGCTGAGATCATCGTTTGATAAACTCATCTTACAGTTCAGGAGTAGATTTTCTTACCCTGAGAAGGAAAAAATCTCTAGGGTTCTGCTAGTTGACCTGACGAGTGAAGAAGAAGCGGAGAACGAGGCAAGCGATGCATTCATTCGGGCAGCGCGCGAACGCGATCGTGACTTTCTCTTTGACGATTGTTGCGGTGATTTGTTCCCTCGCCTCTTTCTCAGATAATTTCAACACTCCCTCTCCAACCGCCGAGATTGAGGTATTCTTTCTAACCCTAGGTTGCTCGAAACCCCGATCATAAAGTTCAATTTTCAATTTTTGGCTTGAAATGTGGCGTCACAAGTCTTCTACCTGGGAGCAATATTGATTGCTGAATACGGAATCGTGAGAGTAAATGATTAGAAATCTGTTGATTAGTATGGAACAGTGGGTTTAAAGATGTAAAAATTAGTTTTTTTTTTTTTTTTTTTTTAATGATGCGCGGGATTTGAACTAGGGATTGCCCTGAGCAATAAGAAATGTTTCTTACTTGTTATAGTGCTATGAAAATTTTGGCCTAGCTTTGTCCACGTCAAGGCGGATTTTTTGTGAAGGTAAAAAAAATGTCAAATATGTTACAGGCTTTCAGAAAATAAAATCCAGGGCATTATATTAAGCCTTGATATTTGAGAATGTCTGGGTGATTATTTAAAAAATAAGATTAGAAGGAAATCTTGAAATCTTGTTCCGATTACAATATTTGTGGTTTTTCAGTATTTTGATTGTTGATTTTGGTTCTGGTTTCAGGCCCAATATTCAAATTTTTTAAAGAGATTTCTTGCTAGTTAATCTATCTTTTGAATTCTTGTGTATAACAAATTCTTGATGATGATCATGATAGTCTCTAATTGGATATAAAGAGAGTGGAATTAATCCATTTTGTCTAAAATCTAGACTTTTCAATCTGATTAAAGCACGACATTAGTAGTGATGGATGTCTGGAGACAAAAATTCATAAAATTAATTTTAAAATTTTAAAATTTTAAAATTGACTGGAAATGATGACATATTTGAATTTATTGTTGATGAAATCCTTTCTTATGACTCCATAAATGTAATATCCCTTTTAGCTTCGAAATGCCATCTAGATTCCTATCATCATCAGCCTATGCCTGCACAGTAGATTATCACTCTCTCCACAATGCAAATTATCATTCTCTCCAACAAGAAGATTTAGTTAAAAATTGGAGCATAGTATCTGAATTTTAGTTTGTGACTTTGTCTCAAGTTATGACATTGATGGTCCTTCAATTTTGCTCCTTGATTTTAGTTCCAGTTTGAGCCATTTATGCTGATTTTTTTTCTTAAAATCATTTCTCAGAAGTTAATCTACCTTCCAAAATTCATTTATAATAAATTATTGACATTGAGGAGGTTGATATATTATAGAATTGGTTTGGAACACGGTTGAATTAATCATTTTTTTTTCCTGAAAGTTGAAATCTTGAATTGGAGTAACTGCAGACCTTTTCAGTGATGTAGAAGAAGAAGAATTTATAATTTTGATCTTCAAATGTTGAGTTTGATTAGCAATGAAGATATTTTTGAATTCATTTTCTTAAAACCCCTTATGTTTCCATATATATAAAATCTGCTTTAGATCTGAAATGCCAATATTTCCTGGGAGCAGAAATGATCAGCCAGGTGTAGTAATCAAAATATTTCATGCTGATAACTCATCTAAAGGTTCAATATGCTAGATGTTCTGATAACTTGGACAATCTGTTTCTGGTTGATTTGACATATTCTTTTGTTATTTTTCTTTTTCACATGAAAAATGGAGCTATTTCTAGTATCTGTGACATTTCTTTTGTCACTTTTATTTTTCTCATGGAAAATGGAGGTTGAGTAAGTTGATGTGGAGGAGGGAGACATATGTAAAATAATTGATAACCATTTAGAATTATTCACTCTTCAAGTTTGTTACATGTTTACCTGTTTTAAAGTAGATTCATTCATTTTTGAGGCACACCTCAAGGCAAAATGGGTAAAATTTTTTAATAAACTTTTCTCATTTGGTTTTTGGCTTGCATGAAAACTTAAAACAACACGAGGGCTAACCGTTATATTGATTTTATAGTTTTATGGGTAGGCTTCACACTGTAAGGTAAATGAAAATAGCGGTGGTTTGTTTTGTGTTGCTTACTTTTCCAAGTCTGTTCGTTGGTTGTAGAAATCAGAGGAATTTGAGATTTTAAGATGATTGTGGAATATGTTAAGCTAAGATGAAAATGGAAGTTTGCAAAACCAATTGATGGTGATATATTGGTGTTGTATTTTAGGTGGTATACGCTGATCTTGGATGGTGAGATGCGTGGGCGGGACTACCTTATGCCTTGGGGGTGCAATTGCCTACCATTAATGTTATTTTTTTGTCTTAAGAATATGCTATTTTTAATAAATTCGTCCACTCTCAATTTTCAACTTTTGCCCATTTCCTATAAAAAAATATCCAACTTAATTAGATTTTTTCAATGGATTAGTTAATTATTGAGTTAAACTTATTAATTATTTATTTGTTGAAAATAATAATTTTTATGTATTTTAATGATTTATCTATTATTGATTTAATTATTTAAAATTTTGCCCACTCTGAGAAAAAGTCTGGTTCTTCCCTTGATTATTGATGGCAATGTATTGTTGGTGGGATGTACTGATCTTTGAATTCTCTGATACCAAACTGATGCTGGGTTTTATAGAAATGCTTTGCTTCTCACATCTAATAGAAGATAAAGCAGTTATAAGAGCATATTTAATAGAAAACTGTTTAGAAGAGAACTGTACGGGTGATACATTATATTGGAGACTTAGAAGGCTAATGAAGTTTGAACTCCTAAATTTACTTGCTGATGTCAATTACACAAAAGTTTTTTGGTTTTCTGTAGAAGAAGCCCAAGATACTAACTTGGATAATCGGCGAACTTACAAAAAATATTACTTGGAAAACATTATTGTTGCAAGAAACTTGGATGGAGAATTAGATGACATCAACTAGAAGTAGAAGCTTGCCATAATTTAATTGTATAAAAAGCTTACATGGAGCAAGCAACTTAAAATATAACAGAAGATTAAATACAGAAGTTCGCTGGTAGAGCCGTATAATGATGCCAATTTTGTTGAGCATAGGTGGTAGGGGTCATCCCCATCAGGTGCCATTATTTGCAATTCCTAATGCAGCAAATCATGAATCCTTGCAGTTTATTTTACGGATCCTGTGCTAACTTCTTTGTCAATGCAGATAAGCTTTTACCAGCTGCTTTATTTTTCTATTATTTCCAAATCAATTCTTCATATTCTATGTTAGGTTTTATCTGCTACATTTGAAAACATTGGTTGATTTGTTTAATTTATATAAAATGTGTTTACAGGTTTCAAATTTTAATTGGTTTCAAAAGCAGCGAAATGGAAATGATGAGGTAATTATTTCCTTGAAATTTTAATCCATGTCTTTGAAGTAATACATCAATTCTCTGCTTTCTCGACGTAGAACAAAATTTCCCTA